CATTTTAAAAATCATTCCCATTTTTTTGTTATATGAAGAAAAAGGAATGTATGTGTATGAAATTAAGATAAACAAACCTTCTCATTCACCTTTTACATCAATGAACAGCTTTACCTGTTAACGCTAGTGTGCATAAGTTATTTTGTAAGCAAAAGCAATTCCAACTTGGTACACACAAAGATTGTATTTTTTTAAAAAACTGCTTTAAAGCTAAACCTCATATTGAAGCCCAGTTATTGGGTGAACCGCCTTTTCAAATAAAAAGTCTACGCAAATCCCATTTAACATGCTATGGGACATGGGTGTCCCTGACCCTTTTTCAGATCCATTAGTAAATCTGCCAATTAATGATGGGAACTACTTTTATATAAAAAAAAAATCCTTTATCTAATTTTTGGATTTTCAGTTTAATCTAGTGGAGCTAATTATTTCAATTTCAGCAATGGACTAGAACACTTGTTTGTAAATTGTGATATTCAGTATTAAGCAGCAATTTAACCTAAGATTTTTGAAATCTTTGTTCTTAGTTTGGTATGACTTAGTACTAATCAGACTAATTAGACTTATCAGACTATGGAGAATATGGAAATGTTACAAGATCAGAGTTGTATGTGTTAATCAATCTACTCTTTCAATCACATGTAACTTAATTGTTAAACAAGGAAAATAGATATATCCTCATTGTAAAGGGGTTTGTTAATCTTATTTTAAAATTTAGTAACTTTTAGAAGGCTTTTCCTGGTGAAAATAAATTTCAGTTTTCTTTGTATTAAAAGATAACACAGCTCATTGTCAAATTGAAGCTCCATTGATTATAAGAATACATAGGCAACACATTTTGAAGCTTATTACTAGCCTTGATCTATACCTAAAATTGCATGGTTTTGTAGATCTAGCATGTGTACCATTCAGGACTATCAGATAATTCTTGATTTAAAATTCATTTTTAGAAATTTGAGATTTAGCTCTCTCACATTGCTCAGAAACAGTACAATCCGCAATTTCTATCTTTCCTTAACACGATGGAATTTTTTGAGGCTTGCAGAAAAGGTATGTCCAAGCACAAAATAATTCTATAGATGTTTCTCTGCTTACCCTTACTCTCTGCAGGCTGATGAACATAAACAGTAACATAGAATTGATTTTCACAGGGAATGTGGAGCTGTGCCTCAGCTGCTGAGAAATATTTTCATATCATTGGTTGTGTTGGAGATTCATACACTACCTTGGAATCTGTGATAATTTAATCAGGAAGATTTTTAAATGTTGCTGCTTGTCTGAGGCTTGACAATAGACATATAAAAGCCATAACATTTGTCATGTGACAGTAGTCCAAGTTGTTAATGAGAGATTAATTATAGAGAACTCTTTATTGTCTTAATTTAAAAAAAATGTTTCTTTTTCTCCATTCCTTCTCCTTCTGCAGCCATAGACCTTTTGTATGGGGGTATATACTGCTTTATGTGTCAAGATTACATATATGACAAAGATATGGAACAAATTGCCAAAGAAGAACAGCGGAAAGCTTGGAAACTACAAGGTTTGGTTTTCTTTAAGTATCTGCTTGAAAGAAGTTTTCACTTCAAGTCATACCTCGCCCTTTTATTCTTGTAAAAGAAAAATAAGAAAACTTTTAACGAAAGTTTTGGGGGAGAGAGAGAAATATAGAGATTATTTCTCTCCAGGAGTTAAACTCAACACATCACGAGAAAGCATAGCCAAACTAAATTTAGGAAGGATATTTCAGTAAAATGCATTTTTCCCTTGTGATTGTGCAGAGTTAACGATAAAGCAGAGTATTCAGATCTTTTTGGAACATAGTAGACAAAATTTTATATTTTTCATACAAAATGCCACGCTTTCCCTAGGCGGTTACTGTGCCAGCTTAACAAAAATGTCACTTTGTTTGCACATACAGTATGTATATATGTAGATATTAACACACAAATATATGTACACACATTTGTTTTATTCAGTTTTCTTTCCCTAATTCTTTTCTTTTTTAGCCTTCACCCCAACAATGATTTCTCACTACCAGTGTACAATGACAGGTAAGAAGTGTGAGCTGGTGACAGATTTTACTAGCAAGCGTCCCTTTTACTGATTACCTGCCATTTTTCAGCAAGAGACAGAATTTGCAATGCTTTCCTATGGTAAAGAATGCATTTTGTGATCCAGGAAATAATACATTCTGCAGGACTTTCCTGTAGCTGAGTTGCTGCTCCAAAATATTCCTCCTTCACAGCAATTAAAGATTTTTTAAAATATATATATCCCGTCTATCGAGAAGGAATTGCACCATTTTTAGGTGGCTGTTAAAAATAGGTATGCACGTTGCCACGGCATTGTTCATCATTCTCAATTGGCATTTTAAATCTTATTTTTAAAGAAGCTCAACCAAAGGAAGAGAGGGAGGGATAGTGGATCGTTCTAAGATAGTCTTGGAATAAGAAATCGATGTCACCAAAGACTTGGCAAAGTATCATTAAACTTCCTCTACATGACAGTCAAGTAACCTCTTATCAATGCCAAATTGTGCTTATTAATTCAGACGCAAACAGCTCTTTTGCTGAAATCTGGCAGTGATACCTCCAATACTTGAGAGTGAGCCCTCAGTTTGCTATATATGTTTCTCTAGAAAAACAAGGAGGGGTGGGCTTCAAAAATTTCAGCAATGGGTTTTCTGCCTGGTTGCTGGATGGGTGTGGCCATGTTGGACGGGGCCTAGTCGGCCTCCTGCACCACAGCAGGGGTGTGTGGGTATTTTTGCCTTCCCCAGGCTCCAGAGGCTTTCCTCGAGCCTCTGGGAGGGCAAAAACTGCTTCCCCCAGGCGCCGGAGGCCTGTTTCGGGCCTTCTGGAACTTCAGGGAAGCCTGTTTTCCCCCCTCCCCAAGCCTCCACATGGATCCTGGAGTGAATGGCTTGAAATGGCTTCCAAAACTGACACTGCTCTTACCTTGCATCCAAAACGGGCCACGTGGAGACTCCTGGGAGGGGTGTGGTGGGAGGGACAAGCCAGGGGTGGGATTTGGAGGTTCTCTGAACCAGCCATAACATGCTACGGGTTCTCCGAACCCGGGCAAATCTGTAGCAGCCCACCCCTGAAAATGAAGCATTTTACAGGAAGCCTTCAACTTTCAGCCCTTTTGATGGCTGGGAGGGCTGTTTTAACCATTAGAGGCGACATATATCTAAAGTTGAATGAAACCCTTTTTTTCCTCATTAAAATAAATAGTTGATAATTATGTAAGTCCTTGTTCTGTAAATATTTGTCTATGTATTTAACAATGTGCCTTTATTGTTTGCTCCTTACTTACAGAATTTTGTTTCTGCCATTAGCACTAATCCAAACAAATATGTACGCAAATTCATATTGATATGCCATGTCTAATACATGCTTACTGTGGATATAATTTCTTGAGATCTTCTTTAATCCACCCCTCTGGTTGATTTGTGCTAAGTACTTCCCTTCGTGCCAGTTGTTTCTGCATTCTAGTTTTATAAGATTTCAAAAATTAAAACACTAGTCCTTTGAAAGAGCCAATAGGTTTCTTGTATAAGCTCAATTTTTGAAAAGTTTTGCTAAAAGACCCCAGCTGAGACTTTTTATCTGTCACGGTAACGGTGCCTCTTTCATCTTTGCAAATGAAGACCTTATATATTATTTGTTTATAGTTACTCCATCCAATCTTTCATGGAAATCTACTTTAGCTTTATTTCCTGTAAGGTATATTTTCCTTTTGGTGGTTAGAATATTAGCTTCATAGTAATAGAAAAGCACAGGAGATTCTTGTTATTTGAGGTGAAGAGTAATCACCCCCCCCCTCTTTTTTGGTGTGTGTGTGTGTGAGATTGTAGAATATTTTATAATATATTTATAAGATCATGTATCTAATTTGCATAGTCACATATACAATTGCATTATTGGTGCATCAAATTGAAAATTTAAATGCCCAATAGGTATCATTTTATTAATCTGTTTTACTAGCATCTCTGATTATAATAATTAGACTCAGAAAGCCACCAAGATGACCCATTTATCCCCTTTTTTCAAATAGTTATCTCTTCCAAGCAAATTCATATCCAGAGTGTGCATGTCATACACATACCTGCATACATGTAGATATATACACACGTTCTCATAGACAAATAACAGTCATCTGTTTTTCACCAATACCTTGTTAACTAAAACTTACAACCAGGGTCCAAAGAGCTGCTTATACTCAGTGGATATGTACAGTAATTGCCCAGTAGAATAGCTACCTTTCCTTTCATATTCTCCTTTGAAGCTGTTCACTCTTAAAAACATACTTGCCAGACTCAGGAGCTATTCTTTCAGGCAGATAAGCTTCAGCAGCCTTACAGAATTAATTGCAAAGTTGTTTGGCTCTCAGCCTATATAATTTATGGTCCAGATTGCAGAGACAGACTGAGGGGGATATTATTTTTTTATATACTAAGGAAATGGTTTGAATATCAACCACGTTGTATTGGTTCTGTACATCAGCTTTTCAAAATAGCACATAGCTAGCTGCCTAATGAATTGGATTATTTATTATTTGCTGTTGTCATCATATTTTTAAAACATCTCTACACAAAGGTCATGCTTCAGGGGTGGCTTCACCGACAGCATCACTGTCTTAACTCAGAAGAACAAGCTATATGAAGGGCAACCTGCTATTGTGTTTTTAATTTAAAAATATTTTCATGCGCTGCTAGGAATAAGAAAAGGAGAGGTAATTGTTACTTTAAACATGGCTGAAATGCCAATACAGTCCGAGCAATAAATCTTGTATGTTTTTTAACTCGCATTTGTAGGAACATATTTAGAAGGTTAGAACTGTAGAGGAAATATATAGGGAAAGCTATTTAATGAATGGTGCAGTTTGCATTCCAAAGTATCCTTATAGCTACAAGCAGTCTTCTGAAATACAGCCCTATATTTCTTTTCATTATCCAGGTATTGGAGAGAAGTATTCAACTTGGGAGCCAACCAAACGAGAGTTAGAGCTGCTTCGACATAACCCCAAGCGACGAAAAATAACCACAAACTGTACCATAGGTAAGGGAGAGAATTGCATTCTTCACTAAATTCTACAGTCATCTGAAGAATTACAGGTAGTCCTCGCTTACCAACTATTCGTTCACTGACTGTTTGAGATTATGGTGCTGCTAAAAAAGATAACTTTACAGATCATGTATGACCTTTGCAGCGTCCCTCAGTCACGTGATTGCCCTTACAATCAATGCGCCTTGGTCTGTGTCTGACGTGTTTCCTCCTTTCCTTCGCCCTTTGCAGAGCAAGGAAGAGTTGAGAGAAAGGGATTGCAAGAGAGTAAGCTGTTTGCTCTTCTGTTCATCAAAAGCAATGTGATCATTTAGCCAATTTTATTGTATTTAAGCAATACAATAAAGATTATACTTATCATACCGGCGGCCCAGGGTTGGGAGCCACGGGTATACTGTACAAGTTTGCAGTAGTCTCTTGAAACCTCTTTTTCTCCAATCTCTCTGCAGAGTGGCAGGGAAGCAAGAGGTTTTTGTAGTCTCCTTTGCCTGACTCTCTTGTGTGGAGCAGAGAGATTGAAGAGGGATTTCAAAGGCTGTGGTTCATTGCATTGCATCACTTTTGATGTATACAAGAGAGTAAGCAGGCCCAGACCCAATAGCTTTTTAAGCAAGGAGGAATGGTTAGGAGGCAAACACAGGCCCAAGGTATGAAAGTGAGTAGCCCTACCTCTTTCCTGCCAGAAACCCCAGTCCTCATCATGATGTTTCCAACTTAGTGGTAGAACTGCCGGTCCCAATTAGGGTCATTAAGCAAGCATTAATATTCAGGCCCCCTTAGTCTTTTATGTATTGATTTCCCGCGTGTTGAACTTTGACTTCCCTATATCAAAATATTGATCTAGTCAATCTCCTTGTGAAGTCTTCAGAGTTGGAGGCTTGGATATTGTTAATACTTTGAAGGGAGCCAATTTTATCTTTTTTACTTACCGCTTTGGTGATACTTACCTATTCGTCTCTTTTTCTCTCTCCTATTTTATGGTCCTCTTATACTCTTTCCAAATTATTTCTCTTTTGTTCTTCATCTTTTATTTGGCCTGATATATTTTTGTTGCTCAGATGCTTTGTTGTTACTTTATCAATGTATTATTTCCCAAAGAAAAAACTGAAAAAAGGGTAAAATCTTCCCTCCCTCCCTCCCTCCCTCCCTCCGTGTTTCCTGCCTTTTCATTTCTTTTTTCAGACAGTTGCTCCTGTCCATCCAATACCTAATTATAAGAAAAACTCAAGGCTTCCCTTATATTTTATCCAGTTTGTCTCTTTGTGTTGCTGTTCCTATTTTTCTGCATAAATCCCTTGTGGGCAGGGTGGGTCTTAACTCTTTTTGGATGCAACTGTTGTTGGCGTTATACACTTCCAAACTACAGTAAGTAAGGTATACATTCCATTTGTTCTCATGTTTTTGCAACTTTGGGATCCAAATGCCCATTAAAAGTACTACAGACTTGGAGTTGGGTAGATCTCAGTTCTGAAGTCAAATGTTAAAGTCAGTGTCTTGGGAAAGTGGCTTATGAAGCCATGTCTGTGTGCTGAAAATGATTGATGAAAAGTTGGTGGAAAGAATTCATTTCATATGCCACTAGGAAACCTAGGACGGAGTTCTCTACTGGAATGTTCCACTATTGTAAAGAAAGTCCAGCCGTGTGTCAAGTCAATAGTGCTGGACAAGATTGTATTTTGATGAATTGAAAGTCTGAATAGGATCACTGAACAGCAAACCATTTTGCTTGCTTGTTCTGCTGGCTGTTTTGACTTTCGTTGAAAGGTTTCTAGCTTTCCTTAAAATAGAAATCCCTACACTCAGGAATGTGTGTTGAGGTGAGGAATCCAGAATGAAAAGGATAAGAGATATAACAATTCTTCATTCTCCTGCATGCAAAATATTTAATCATTTGTATTATCTTTATGTCAGTTACGCAGTGAATGAAACTTGGAGTTTTATCAGTGAATATGGTTTGCATGAATTTTTATTTATTAGGAATCAAGCAAGCATGCTCGGATAAATTGCTTATATTTTCACTGTCCTCTGTGAGCAATTAAACTGTCCAGGATACCCCATCTCTGGTGGCTATCTACCCCTAAAAAATGCTCATTTTTTCCCATTGGTATCTGTGTTTCTTAATGAATTCATTCAGAAATGCACATCAGCAATCTAGCTCCATCAACATCCTTAGAACTAACTGGTTTTCCTTTAAAATTAGTTGAATATTTCCCAGCAATAATAATAAATGTAAGCCTTTATCATTAATCCTTTAGAGTTGTTTGAGAGTCTCAAGAAGAATTTAGTTTGTTTGTCTGGGGTCCATAGGCATTAAAGATCAAGTAGATTGCATATATCTATATTTTTTTGGATAAATGATTACATGGTTAGACCTACAGGTAGTCCTTGACTTACAGCAGTTCATTTAGTGACCATTCAAAGTTACAACAGGACTGAAAAAAGTGATTTATGGCCGTTACAGCATCCCCACGGTAACATGATCAAAATTTTGGTGCTTGGCAACTGATTCATATTTATGATGGTTGCCGTTTCCCAGGGTCACGCGACCCCCTTTTGCAAGCTTCTGAACAAGCAGAGTCAACGGGGAAGCTGGATTCACTGAACCACCATGCTACTAATTTAAGAGCTGCAACGATTCCTTTACAGATGTGGCAAAGAAGGCCATAAAGTGGAGCGAAACTCACTTAGCAACTGTTTCACTTACCCATGGAAATTTTGGGCTCAGTTGTGGTTGTAAATTGAGGATTACCTGTACGGAGATGCTTCAGCCAAATTTCTAATTCCGCCTTAAGTAAAGTATTTACCCTGTGAGTAAGGCTCAGGAGGCAGAATAGGAATGCATAGATGCCAAAGCAGAATTAAGTAGGACATGGGGTTTTCAGGAGGGTCACCTTATATATTTAAATGGTCTGACATTAGGAGTGAATAGAAAGTTGGCAAAGTTTGTTGATAACCCCAACTTTTTCAGGATAGTGAAAACTTAAATCGGATTTTGAAGAGCTTCACAAGAATCTCCCCAAACTGGGTGAATGGGCAGCAAAATGGCAAATGCAGTTCAATGTAAGTAAGTTTAAAGTGATGCACATTGGGGCAAAAAACGTTACTTTCACACATAAGCAATTTAACTTAACTTCCTAATCAGCAGAGGGATTCTGGGATCACGGCAGACAGGAACATACTGTTCCAGCAGACAGTCGCTGTGAAAATATCCCTCTTCCCTCTAGAAATTATTACGAACATTCAAACAACTTTGTTATATATTCAAGAAGATTTGTGGTGTGATCTCTTGGAATATATGCTGTTCTGACATACCTTCAGATCAGATTTGTGGAAATGGGAAATGAGCAATACAAATATCGGGAGTCTGGTACAGTTTCCTTATAAAAAAATAGAGCATTTTAATTGAAAAGAGTGATGAGAGATTGATGCTCCCAGGAAGAGAGAGAGAGAGAGAGAGATTTCTTTGGTAAGAATTTCATACAATGAACTAGAGAAATGGGAAATTGTGGAGTTAAAAAAAGTATTTTGTAAAGTATTGTTGTAAACTATCATAGCACCTTGATAATCATTTTAAAGCAAGCTGAATAAATAGACAAATAATCCACATCATTTATTACTTTTTGAGGCTTGTCTACCACAAAAATCTGTTAATAATATACTTTATATAAAAGGATGCATATTGGTTTCGATTCATTACAGCTAATCTGCAAACTTTTAAAATAGGTCCTGCATATAACGCTCCGAATAACTTCTGGCTTCTAATTCAGGACATTACTGTTCTGCTGTGTCATATCAACCTTATTCAAAATCAGAAGCTTGATAATGTTTTAAGTAGATTAATTTCGAATGCTTTCTAATTAAAAGGGGGGGGACCCTAATTCATTCTTCCTATTGTGCTGTATCTTATTCATGTGATGTAAATGAGCACATCAGATTAATTTCAGATACCAGGGATGTAAGCATGGTGTTGTGTATATGTGTGTGTGTGTGTGTGTGTGTTTTCTCTTTCCTTGCACAGCTTGTATTTTGTTACCCTTCCCCTCTTTTTTTCCTCTGTAAGAACAGTCTTCCTGAACAGCCTTGAGGTATTAGCTAGAGCAGTGTTTTTCAACCTTTTTTGTGCAAAGGCACACTTTTTTCATGAAAAAAATCACGAGGCACACCACCATTAGAAAATGTTAAAAATGTTTAACTCTGTGCCTATATTGACTATATAGCGGGTGTTTTTCCCACGGCACACCTTACACTATGTCACGGCACACTAGTGTGCCGCGGCACAGTGGTTGAAAAACACTGAGCTAGAGAACAGTCTGCTTCTGATTAGCATATGAAGTTACTTTGTGGCCAAAGACTATTGTTTTCACAATAGGCAGAATTAGGCTTCCAAAGTACAGCGGTAATTAGCTAAAGCCACCTGGGATTCTCATTTGTTACTTCGCCAAAAAAAAAAGAAGAAGAAGAAGAGGACCGGACCTCTTTTTTTTTAAAAAAAAGAGGAAAATGGAGGAGGAAATAAAAGGAGGAATGGAAGAGATGCCCCTGACAATAGAGACAGAACAGTGGCAGGTGTCTTTTGCAGCTGTGTGACATTTGGCAACATGACCTGAGGTAGGAAACATGAGTGGAATAAATATTGTAATAGTTCTTCAGCCTAAAAGTGGCACCAAGAAGGTTTTGTAGGTTGAAAAGTAATTAAGACGTTACTTCTGGTTCTCTAGGCAACATCCAGAAACATTGCTTGATCCTTCAATATTATGTAAACTGAAGCATGAGTGTCTGAGCATGAGGACAGAGGTGATGGGAGGATGTTGAAAATTGCATGAATGAATACTTTAATGACTACTTTTAGACTAGCTGGTTGGTGAACTGGGCCAAAAAAAACCCAAGCTTACTTTAAACTTGAGAAAGCAAGGGGAGGCTTTATTATACTTTTGGTCCAAACGTAGCATTAGTCTCTTAAAAGCCCATGGTTGAAAATGGATTTCTGTTAATTA